GCCCCCTCTCGGTGTGCAAACCGTGGCTGTCCCTGCCGCTGCGTCCCCCTCTGTCACCTGTCTGGGGCACAGATGGCTTTGCTCCTTGCATCCCACACAGGTTAATTCCCCACCGAGTGCATTTCCAGCGCCTGCTTCGCTCTCCACCTAAACCAGCCCCGGGCCACACTGCTGCTCTGCATCTGCGCCCACGCCGGTCCCCTCCGCAGAAGCGGCCAAACCGTGGCTGTCCCTGCCGCTGCGTCCCCCTCTGTCACCTGTCTGGGGCACAGATGGCTTTGCTCCTTGCATCCCACACAGGTTAATTCCCCACCGAGTGCATTTCCAGCGCCTGCTTCGCTCTCCACCTAAACCAGCCCCGGGCCACACTGCTGCTCTGCATCTGCGCCCACGCCGGTCCCCTCCGCAGAAGCGGCCGTCCCGGTGTCACGGCCACCCAGAAGCCAGCGCCCCCAGAGCTGTGACAGCTGCTGGGCGCCGGTGACACCGGCAGGGCCCGCGCCGGCGGCACCGCATCCCTCCCATTGCTCCTGTCGGCTCGGGGCGGGGGCTCCAACATCTGCTCACGGTGGGAGCAGATGAGCTTCAGTGGCGTTCCCAGCACCACCGCAGCGCTGCCCGCCGGCCCCTGCATCTGCTCCCTGCCACTGCTGCACGCAGCCGTACAGGGCCACCGGCACACACCGATTCGTCTGCACAATGTTCGGCACTCGCACAGTGCTGAGGGACTAAGACCACATTAAACTCTGACATTAAACTCCAGCCGAAATGTCCGTGCCCCCTCTCTGCCCCGCATCCCCGGCCCTCACCATGTCCATCTTGTGTCCCCAGCTCCAACTCTATGCTGTGTCCCCAGTGCTGATTTGCTCGTGAGACAGCTCAGAGCCGTGAAGTGCTGTCAATCAAAACCTGTGAAGTGCTCTGAGCCTCTCCAAGGAGAGGTTTCCAGCGTACCCTCAAGAGCGGGGAGAGCCCTTGCCCTCCGCTCACCCTGGCTGTGGGGGTGTGCGCCTCGTCCCCCTCCATCCTCTGCACATGTGGAGAAAGGGGCTGGGAAGAGAAAGCTGTGAGACCCCTCCAGCCAGGATGCTCCGCCTGCTCCAGAGCATCCTTCACTGCATCCTTCCATTGCATTCTTCCACCACATCCTTCCCTGCATCCTTCCATTGCATCCTTCACCACATCCTTCCCCTGCATCCTTTCCCTGCATCCTTCCCTGCATCCCTCCACTGCATCCTTCCCTGCATCCTTCCCCTGCATCCCTCCACTGCATCCTTCCCCTGCATCCTTCCCTGCATCCTTCACCACATCCTTCCCCTGCATCCTTTCCCTGCATCCTTCCCCTGCATCCCTCCACTGCATCCTTTCCCTGCATCCTTCCCTGCATCCTTCCCTGCATCCCTCCACTGCATCCTTTCCCTGCATCCTTCCCTGCATCCCTCCACTGCATCCTTCCCCTGCATCCTTCCCCTGCATCCTTCCCTGCATCCTTCACCACATCCTTCCCCTGCATCCTTTCCCTGCATCCTTCCCCTGCATCCCTCCACTGCATCCTTCCCCTTCTGCCGCGGTGCAGCGGCTCAACCTCAGCCTGTGGTGCTGCTGCTGCCAAAGCCGTTTGGGAACGCGGCCGTCCCATCCAAAACAGAGGCATCTCCTTCCTCCCATCCTTTCCTCCAGACCCGAGATGCACCCGCAGCCCCATTGCGCTGAGCAGCATCTGCCCGGTGACAGGAGACGGCCACCACAATGACAGGGGACAACCTACCAGGGAGCTATCGCGGTGCCACAAGCTGCACCATCTGCTCTCGCAAGGTTTTGCTTTACAGTGACATTCAAAACTTGAAATATTCATTTTGCGGGATGTCCCAGCTGGCGCACACGCGTCCATGCAAAATGCTCCTTGCACGGGGTTGCGATGCATCCCTCAACTGCAGGCTGCTGCAGCAAACACACATGTGCACATGTACACATGCAGGGAGCAGCTTCTGGATTAATGTCACTTTCATGAAGCCAAACATCCGCTGTATAAATAACTGCAACGCTACTACGGAGCCAACGCTCCAGGTACGACTCAGAGAGATTTTTCCAGAGCGCATCGATGCGCATTTTATGGGCTCCATGAAAATGGGTCAATGAAAATTTCAAGGATTTAATAAAGCAGAATGGGTCAGCTTTGGGCTATTTAAAGAAATCTATGGAGACCACCAGGGCATGGTCTTTGGCACAGCTGATCCTGGCCCAACAGCGCCGGTGGGCAACGGCTGGGCCCTCGCTTGCCGATTTCGGCTTTCCGCCCTCCACCGCAACCTCACCTGCGCCCAGACGCTGGCCGGCACCGCCGAGACCATTAACTGCTATTCCCTTCCATCCTAATCTAATTATATTTCTGTGTTCAATAGCCGAGCACAATGTTAAACAGGCTCTGCCGAGTAAGCCGCAGCCAGGGAAGGCTGGGGGTTTCATTTGCACTGAATATGTGATTCATTACAGCAGGGACTTGGGACAGACCAATTAATTCACCTGCTCCAACGGGCACCGCTGCCCGACGGCGAGCTGGCACGCCGTGAACCCCGACTGCTTTTCCTGCCACCTCCGTCGGTGACACAGGGAGGTGGATACAGCTCAAGCCAGCTTAAAAAAAGGAAGAATATCCCCAATGGGTTTGCAGCACACAGCATAGCTGTGGTTGTAGCAGCATCCGTGGCTGCTGGGGACCAGGCACAGGGGTTTGCAGGCTTGGCTTCCACAGAGCACAGAGGGATGGGAGGAGGAGGAGGAGGAGGAAGACCCCATCACCCTTGCAGCAGGAGCATGGAGGTGTTGATCACAGAAAACATCACCAAATGAGCTGTCTGGTATTGATGGAGCGTCCACGTGGGATGCGTGACCCCTGAACGCTGCCCATCACACATGGGAGGTTGATTCCAGCTCAGCACGGAAATCACTGCCTCTTCTCCCGGTCTCAGAGGTGGGCAGGAACTGCTGACATTCGGGGCCACCCCGGGTACCCTTTGCTCCCACGTCCCCATCCATCCCCATCCCTGATGTCCACCTCGGCCCCGTCTATAATTCACCTCCATGGAAAAGGCATTTTGGTCCCCAACCTCCGCTCCATGGCAGGGGACATCCTCCACACCCAAATGTCCCAAATGATGCGCGATGGGGGATGGCAGCGGGCGGGGACGGGACGACGGGCAGGGATGGGGGGCACGGGGTACGTACCAGGAAACAGCCCGACGGCGTCTGCCCTGCCCCCAGGAGTCAAACAGGCTGCGGCCAGTCAGCAGGAGATCTCAAACCACTTCTCAGACACAAAGGCCACGGGAATAAGATGCCGGTCAGAAGAAGAGGGTCTGCAGGGAGCACAGAAAGGGGCTCTTTTATGGCTTTTTTAGCAGGAAAAAAAAATTAAATAAAGCTCTAAAGTAATGCTTTGAATGGGCTTGGTAACCAGAGGAAGAAGAAGAAGTTGGACTGCAAGATCAAAGATTTTTATCCCTTTTAACGCAGCAAATGGCCCTGGGGGTCCCCAACCCCAAATGGCAGCGGGGCATCACCCTCCTGCCCCCCAGCCTGGCCCCCCAGCCCTGGCCGAGGGTCTCAAAGGCTCTGCCAGGAACCACACCATGGCCAACGGGGTCCCAAAAAGCATCACCCGATGCCAGAAAAGCTCCGAACCCCCCAGCCCCACTGCACTGCTCGGCTGGGGCTCACATCCAAACCAACACACGAACACGGTCAGTGAAATGGCTTGAAAAGCTCTGCCTGTTCTCTGCCTTCCAAAATGTGAGAAACCCTGAAAAATGCGGACTTGCCAAACCCTGCGATGGTTAAAGAGACAGAAATTGGGGCTTCTCCGCCAGTGGATACGGCTTCTGGTGGCACCGCCAGCCCCACAGCACCAGTTGCTCATTTTCTCCCCTAAAACGCTCCCGATTTCCCTTCCAGCTTTGCCGGGAATGGGCATTTACCACGTGGTGAAACCGCACCAGCGCCCAGCATGGGCTCCCACCTTGTCAGCCACTGCCAGCATCCCCTCATTAATGCATCGTTATCTCACTCCAGGCTCGTTTGGCTCCTCCATTAATCACCCCGCTCATTCGCAACCCCTGCTTTGGGTTGGGAGACGGATCCAAAAAACCGCGCTCACCTGTTTCCATTGAAGGTGGTTTTGTAGTCCCCGGGCGAGCGCAGGGTCTCCTCCGCGTAGACGGGCACGGGGGTGCGGACGCACTCGTGGGAGCACTGCAGCGTCTCGTTGTAGGCGGTGAAGATGTCGAGGGCGCTGGGCACGCGGGCGGGGGCGAAGTCCGTCAGGTTTTGGCAGCTCTCCTCCTGCTGCTCCAGCTTGCGCTGGTGGCTGTTGCGGCGCGGGCGCCCGCTCTGCGCGCAGCTGGGGCGGGGACACAAGAGGGGACGGGGGCGCGTCACCGAATCGGCAGGGCAGCGCGCATCGTCCGACGGAAATGACACAGCAGTCGGTTTGGGATGGGAATGCAGGCGTCTGCGGCGGACCAGGTACTTTGGGAAGAGCAGGTACTTATTTGGGGAAAATCAGGCATTTGGGAAGATCAGGCATTTGGGAAGATCAGGCACTTGGGAAGATCAGGTACTTGGGAAGATCAGGTACTTGGGAAGATCAGGCATTTGGGAAGATCAGGTATTGGGGGAGATCAGGTATTGGGGAAGATCAGGTATTTGGGAAGATCAGGTACTTTTGGGAAGATCAGGCATTTGGGAAGATCAGGTACTTTTGGGAAGATCAGGCATTTGGGAAGATCAGGTACTTATTTGGGGAAGATGAGGTATTGGGGAAGATCAGACATTGGGGAAAATCAGGCATTTGGGAAGATCAGGCATTTGGGAAGATCAGGTATCGGGGGAGATCAGGTATTGGGGAAGATCAGGTATTTGGGAAGATCAGGTACTTTTGGGAAGATCAGGCATTGGGGAAGATCAGGTACTTATTTGGGGAAGATCAGGTATTTGGGAAGATCAGGTACTTGGGAAGATCAGGTACTTGGGAAGATCAGGTATTGGGGAAGATCAGGCATTTGGGAATCTCAGGTACTTTTGGGAAGATCAGGCATTTGGGAATCTCAGGTACTTTTGGGAAGATCAGGCATTTGGGAAGATCAGGTACTTCTTTGGGGAAGATCAGCCCCAATCAAGCAGCCATTTCGCTGGTCTTTTTTTTCCTTTCCCCTCTTTTTTAAAGATCAAATTTAAATTTCAGATGCGAGCGTTTTAGCACCGGAGGAATCACTTAGCAAGTCATACGCTTATACCTGCAGGGAACGAAAGCCTTTTTTTTTTAGATGTAGGTGAGAACAATGAAGTGAAACCCTTTCCCTTTGGGAGGCTCCAAAAGCTTTTAACTTTTCGGGATAAATAAGCCCCAAAACTGGTACCCCTCAGCCGCAGCCCCGCTCCCTGGTGACCATCGGGACTCCGTGGCCGTGCCACGCTTTTGGATGGGGACACGTGAACCGAGGAGGACGCCAGGCAGTGGGAACCGCTGACCGAGGCGTCCTCTGCCATTTCCCAGCCTCCCTTATTGCAAACAATTTCTGTTCTGCACCGATCACCGCGTCCGTTTTGGTTTTTCCCCCTTTTGGGCTCCAGCACGAGCGGCTCTGCCCAGCCCAGTGATCTGCGTTACCGATGGCCGCTGCTAAGAGAAATCCCCACCGTGCATTAAGAAGCATTTTCTTGCTCTTTCACTGCGATACTGCTATGCCAGGCAAGCTCAGGAACGCAAATCCTGCCTGAGACATAAAACCAAGCAGCACCAAGCACTCCCGATGCTGGAGCAGGCAAAGCCCCTGTCCTGGGGGTGAGGAGCTCATCTGTAAAGCTCTATCTAAATTAAGAAGCCCCCACAGCTCCACAAAGAGGTTTTCCCCTAATCCTGGGAGCGAGACGGCTGCTTCAGCATCCCGGTTCTCCCAGTTTTCCCATTTCCAGGCCTCAACCAGCTCGGGTGGGCAGGAGGAGACCACCGGTGGCACCGGCCTCAACGCGCCAGCCCCGCGCGGCACCGTCCCTGAGCCGCCACCAGCACTGCTGACCTCAAAGTAGGGCAAGTTCCCAGGAAAACAGGTGAAGTCTCCAGCGCCCCAAGCGCAGGGATAACCTATTTTGCCGTCCGCCCGGCCGCGCCGAGGGAAGGAACGGGAGCAAATCCAGGCGGATGGGGCACGCTTCAAACCGGCGGCACCCCAGGGGTGCAGGATGTGCCCTGCGGTCCTGCAGCTGCGGGGAAGGGCAGCAAATGCAGTTTTCCCTTGCGGAGCCAGGCTGGGGATGCAAGGAGCAGCAGCAGAGCTGCGGGGGCAGGCGCGGAGGAGACGGGACCCAGCGCAGGAGGCAGTGGGCCAAATGCACGGCTCTGACCTCGCCAGGTGGCACCACGATGCTGTGACTCGGTCCCGGAGCCACATGTCCCACATGGGACGTGGCCACCTGGTCCTGGCCCCATGCTGGTCCCCAGAGCCACCCAGCATGCGGAGACAGCCACGGACAGGCCCAGGTGCCTTACTATAAAACCCCCTATTTTCTCCTGAAGCCAGCCCAGGGTTTAGCACCCACAATTAGAAAGGCGCCCCCATCCCCATCCTGTCCCCATCCCCGCACCCCACATGTCCCACATGGGACGTGGCCACCTGGTCCTGGCCCCATGCTGGTCCCCAGAGCCACCCAGCATGCGGAGACAGCCACGGACAGGCCCAGGTGCCTTACTATAAAACCCCCTATTTTCTCCTGAAGCCAGCCCAGGGTTTAGCACCCACAATTAGAAAGGCGCCCCCATCCCCATCCTGTCCCCATCCCCGCACCATACCCCCCCGAAACCCAACACACCCCGGGGCGACCTTACCAATTTTTTAAGACAAGCGTCGTTATCAGAGCGGCGATGACCATGATGAGGGACACGGTAATCGTGATGATCTGATGGACCGCCAGACCTGCGGAGAGAAGAGAGGCCAGAGTGGGGACGGGGGCCACGGGAGACCCCGGGCAGCGGCCGAAAAAGCTCCCCCCATGCACAGCCGCCCCCCGCGATGTAGTCGTCTCTCCTCCCTCCCATAACTTAATCTTCAAGCCATGCTCCTCGTCTCCATCCTCTCAAGTCTGCTCCCTGTCAGCCCGAATTAGGCAGGAAGAAGGGAAGAGACGTGGAGCCGCATCCCCTCCGGGATGGAAAGGGAGCCCGGCAGTGGGTGCGGGATTAACCAGCGGCGCTAATTACCGCGCTAACTGCCGCTCACTTAGGAGGTCGGGTGGGCTCGTTTTCGCGTAATTCACCTTACACAGGGTATAATTTGGGCTCGTGTATCACTCCTAATGAGCAGTTTGGAAACAAAAGCGTCTCGATGTACAGTATGTTTGTGATTTTGTGCTGCTTTACAGTCGCAATTTCGTAATGAAATGATTTTCCTGGCTGCAGCCCAAGGATGTGCTATTTTTCACAAGCAGATGTTGCCGCTCCTGATGGATGGTATTCTTAATAAATAAATAAGCGTCAGCACGGCAGGAAAACAAGCAGTTATATATATATGTATGTATGTGCATCTGTGCGATACATGCGCAGCGCTCCCAGCTCGCGCGGGTGCTCGTGGTGAGGAAATCGCTGCTTCTGCCCACACAAACAGCGCAGGGGCTCCTGGCTCCACTGCGGCTCGGACGGAGATGGGGATGTCCTGGGGAGGAGGGGGGTAAATGCTGCCGGGGTCCTGGCACTGAACCAGCCCCTGCAGCTCCTCCAGCGCCAGGGGGCATTGCACAGAGCATCCCCGCAGGACCAGCACCCAGAGCATCGCCACGTTTCCATGGGAATGCTGCCCAGAGCATCCCCACACACCTGTGGGACCCTCACCCAGAGCATCCCCACGGGACCATGACCCAGAGCATCCCCATGTTTCCATGAGAACGCTGCCCAGAGCATCCACACACACCTGTGGGACCTTCACCCAGAGCATCCCCATGTTTCCATGGAAATGCTGCCCAGAGCATCCCCATGCTCTTGCAGGACCAAGATCCAGAACATCCTCACGTTTCCATGGAAACGCTGCCCAGAGCATCCCCACGCTCCTGCAGGACCATGACCCAGAGCATCCCCAAGTTTCCATGGGAACGCTGCCCAGAGCATCCCCAAATGCCCGTGGGATCCTCACCCAGAGCATCCCCACACTCCCACAGGACCATCACCCAGAACATCCCTTCTCTCCCGTGGGACCATCACCCAGGGCATCCCCATGGGAATGCTGCCCAGGGCTCTCCCATGCTCCTGAGCAGTGGATTTGGGGCCTGGCCATGGCTCCCCAGCTTTTGGCACAGCACATCATGCTGGGTAATGAGGCCAGACACGACGTCTCAGGGGTACTTTAAACCACGGATTGTGTTTGCTGCTCCATTGCCTTCTCTCAGAGGACCAAAGTTTGGACTCCCTTGAAATTCGTTATCTTGTCTCCCTCTGCTCATCCCAGCACCCCAGGGGTTTCAGGTCCCTGCCCACGCTGCCAACATCCATCAGGGGAGAAAAGCTGGAGCTCAGCCCGACTTCCAGGGCAAAGCCGCCACCGCCCAGCCCATGCCTCACCAAAAAAACCCAAATCCCTCCAAAACACGATGGAAAACGCACCCTCTGAGCATCCTTTCTCAAGACCCACCACCAGCTCGCCCTCGCTGGCATCACCCTGCAGCCCTGGGTGCAAGACGCAGGCTGTGCCACCCCAGGGAGGAGGGGAGGATCCCTGTGGATCCCCATAAAAACCCAAATCCCAAGCAATGGGACCGGTCAGCAGCGATGCCTTATTACAAAGCACTGCCAGGACACGTCCCGGGTGTAAATCAAGTGCTCAGAAATGTGAGCCCTGACAGTTCAATATAACACCACCAAGGTCACCCTCGGCGAGTCTCAATCCCCAAAACACCACCAGTGCCGAGCACCGGGGTAGCAATGGCTCATGGGGAAGGCTTCGCCTCCAGCCTCAGTGTGGTTTAAAAGGGCTTTTCTAGAGGTAGGACCAAGGAGAGATTATTTCCTGAAGGCCAACACTTCTGAAATGTCAGCTCTTTGAGTCCTGATGTGCTTCCTCACTGGGGAGCCATGGGATGGACAGGGGGACGGCTGGACAGGGAGACGGCTGCTCACCAGCCCCTGTGCCCCAGTGAAGCCCATCACAGCAGCATGGGATGTGCCAGGGTTATTTTTCTCCCTGTCAGGGTTATTTTTCTCCCTGGACTCAAGCCCCTATTTTGCAAATGACCCATTTCTTCCATTTACTCCCAGTTATGCTTCAATCGGTCCCAATGTGCTGTGAGGAGGCTCCTGGGGAAGGGCTGCCACCAGCAGCACAAGGCGGGTGGGGGGGAGCCACTGCAGGACATGGGTGGTGGAGGACGCGGAGGACCCCACTAGCGACTGGGGACCCACAGCCAAACCGTTCGCTCCTGGACTGCTCTGCCCCCGGCTTTCATTTCCCAAGGGAATTCATGGGGAAAACGTCATGGGGCTCCCCAGCCCCACACTCGGGGTCTCTGGAGGGTGGTTGCGATGGGAGCCGGGTCCCAACAGGAGCTGTGTCCCAATGGGAGCCGTGTCCTGATGGGAACCGTGTCCCGACAGCCCCCAGCCTGCGCCCACCCTGGGGCTGGGTGGTCCTGCGGGTGCCGGGTCAGGAGCCACATCCCCCGCAGCAATCCTGGAGCTGCTCCCAGTGGGACACAGTCGAGAAAGATAAAAGGGAAGGCTCTAAAAATACCAAAACCCCAGCCCAGTGCCCGACCGCTTTGAACACAGGCGCGGCGTTGGAAATGAGACCTTCTGCAAAGACGGGAGCCGCGGCGGAGGCGGCGCGGCCGCGGGAGAACCTAACGATGCAATTAATCCTTGCACTTACATAATGGGAAACGCGCGGCAGAACAGATTGCAGGTGGCTGAGCACTGGGAAGGATGGCAGCTCTCGGGAGCAGGACACATGGATTTGAAGAAGGGCCGGATAATTTTAGACTCCATCACATACATAAGTTGCCATATGTACCGCCACAGAGGAAAAGTTCCTGTTCATTGCATATTAATCCTGCACCGGAGCCCGCGGGGACTTCAAGGGGACGGGAAATGTTTGTCCCAGCAGAGATGGGAAGAGGGAAAAGGCTGCAATGGGTAACTGGGAGGGTTAACTGGGAAGCCCATAGCAACACCCGCTGCCATAAAGACTAATAGATCTCTATTCTTCCTTTACAAATACATCAGACCCTTTCCTCCAGGCCTTCAAAGAAATATATAGAGCCATACAGAGCAAAATCGAACACAAATATCCAACCTGCAAGAGGAGTTAATGGATGGGGCACTCGGGAGAGGGGAGCATCCCGTGAGGGACGCGCAGCACCCGGAGGGGGGAGGCGAGATGGAAAAGTGATGGCTGCGAAGGGCACAGCATTATTTTAGACACGGCCCGAGGAGCCCAATCTGTCTGGAGGAGAAAATCAATAGCTCATAAAGCACAGCCACCCTCCTCTGCCTGGCACGACCGCGCAGCGAGAGCCCTAAAACACGGGGGAAAGTCTGGCGCCTCCGTTTTGGTCGCTCCTCTCCATGGCACACGTTTGAAGTGGCAAATCTCCAACCCCGGTAAGTTGTAGAGCCTGGTGTTTGCTTAATTACACGTTAACACTCGTTAAGAAGCGAGTGGGATGCGGGAGGATGCCCAAGGCGATGCCGCCCCGTCCGGCGCCGGCCATGGAAACAGCGGCTCCCGTGCACGGCTTTTCCCAGGCGATCTGACGCAGTGACCGTTTAACCGGAGGGTAATTACAGGACGAGTATTTAATGGGGCTGCAAGCGTGTCCAAGCCCCCGCGCTTCTGCTGGTGCAGCACAATTTAATGTGTCGCCTGCCAGGAGGGAAAGCTCTTCAAAGGCGCTCTTTGAACCCGCGGAAACGCTGAAATAGCCCTGGGTTTTTCCACTCCTGCGCCATCCGAGCGTGCCCTGCTCCCACCGGGGACTCCTCATCCCCTCCGGCAATGGGAGACCCTCAACATCCCCGCATTGACCCCCCAAAACGCAACTCCTCATCCTGGAGATGAAAACCCAACGTCAGAGCAGGCCAACGCCAGGCGTTTTTTTTTTTTAATACCTTATTTTAAAGACCGTATATTTGCCATCGAGATGAAAGCGCTGAGTTTTGGCCTTTCCGGGCACCTTTTGCAACGGCTCCTGGACAGCTCTGCATCACCAGAATTAATTCCAGGAGAAAATCCATTCGAGACTAATGGCTCGCTGCTGCAGAAGTGCGCAATGGCAGCGACCAGGAGATATAAGCTCTTAATTAAAAACAAAGAGAACCTCTATCCCCCAGGGCCTTTATTTCAACAGCTCTGGTTAGGGAGATCATATTTTTCATTTTCCCAATAAAAACAGCTCTTTGAAGACCCTCGTCAAGGCCTCTAAGCAGCATAAAATTAAAAAAAAAAGGGGGAAAACCAGCTCGGTTTCATTTTGCTGAGCGTGATCTTGAGTCAGTGGTAGGAAAACAACAGATTCACCCCCAAACACCAAGCCCGTCCCGCAAAGCAAACTCCCTTGCCCCTGTCTCCTTCTGCCTTCCCACAACGCCCAATTTGAGTCGTAGAATGGTTTTGGTTGGAAAAGACCTTTAGGATCATTGAGGCCAACCATAAAATTTCAAGTCAAAATGTTGAAAGAGGCCAAATCTCCCAAACAAGCCATGGTTATCACAAGGGGAGCCGGAGAGGCCGGTCCTGGATCACATCAGGTTTCCTCGGCTGGGCTGGAGAGGCATCACTGCTTCCCCACCGTCAGACAGTGGATCTGATCCCGAAAGCCTCATTTAGCTGATAAAACCGCTCTCGGACACACAAACTCAATCATTCTGCAGCAATCGCAGTCACCGAGGGCCTCTCCCAGGGGGGGATCAGGCAGACTTCGCCTAACGCGAACCCCACCGCCGTTTAACAGCGTGTAAGAAATGTCGTTTACAGCAAACACCGGGGTTACAGAGAGGCGAGCGGATACGGCAGAGGTTCTTGGAAATGCCCCGGCGCGAAGCCGGTCGATCGCTGCCAATTCGTGGTGCTGGAGCCGCTGCTCTCCATAACCGCATCCCCAAAGCCGGGTTTGTGCAGCAAAGCCCCTCGGGTTTCCAGCCGGTAAATCAGGGTGATCAGCTCCAAACCCTGGTAAATCAGGGAGATCAGCTCTGAACCCCAGTAAACCCCTGATAAATCAGGGTGATCAGCTCCGAACCCCCGGTAAAACAGGGTGACCAGCTCCAAACCCTGGGTAAATCAGGGTGACCACCTCCAAACCCCAGGTAAATCAGGGTGACCAGCTCCAAACCTTGGGTAAATCAGGGTGACCAGCTCCAAACCCCAGGTAAATCAGGGTGATCAGCTCTGAAACACCAGTAAATCAGGGGGACCACCTCCAAACCCCTGAGAAATCAGGGAGATCTGAACCCTGGGTAAACCAGAGTGATCACCTCCAAACCCCAGGTAAACCAGGGTGATGAGCTCCAAACCCTGGCAAATCGGGGTGATCAGCTCCAAACCCCAGTGCGGGGAGCATCAGTCATCTTGAGGTGAAAACGCAGCTCTTCAGCACAAAACCCCAAGGTTCCCGGAAACCTCTCGGTATTTTGGGTTGGACAGCTGGAAAGAGGAGAAAATCCTGCTGCTGCTGCTGCTGCCGCGAAATATTCGTGCCAAGAACGCAGATCCTGGAGGCTTATGCTAAAGACACCGGGACTTATCTTCTCAGGTGTTACAGCAAATACCAGCGAGCAGTAAACACTTCAGAGCGGCGGCGGAGAGCTGCAGGCTCCGCCAGGGCTTGCGGGGGCGAAGGCAGCTGCTAATCCTGGGGGAAAAAGCCCCCTCTCCCCGCCGGCTTTCGGCCACGCTCAGCCCTTGCTCCATCACCCACCACCCCCAGGACAACCACGATGGAGCATGGCCCCCTCGGGACCCCAGGAGCTGCCCCAGGGGACACTGCCAGCCCCCTCACCCCACAGCTCCCCACGCCTTTGCACGCTGGATCAAAGAGGCGGCTCCAGCCCAGCCGCCCAGGGTCTGCTTTTAAACACATTTTATCTTTAATTAATTCCTTTGAAGCCTTTTGCAGCCGCTATCTCTTGCATCCAGCACCCCCTCTCCTGCACCCTCTTTCTGAAGGCAGGGTCATCTCCCGCTGGGAAGTACATGTCCCTTTATCCTGATTTACTCCCGATTTGCTCCCGGCCAGCGGTGGGAAGGGAGCAGAGGGCGGGCTGGGGTGCAGGTACCCCCTCATCTCCCCATGGGAGTGCCCCAGCCCCAGGGTGCCCCTTCCTGCCCCCTTGCCGAGCACGCTGCCAAACCCGCTGCGTACAGGCCACCAAATCGCCACTAAGAGCAGCAGATGGCACGTGAAGTCTTTTGCCTTCTAAAGCACTTAAAGGTTTAATTAAAGACGGCTTTATTCTAATAATAACAAAATGAGAGCCTCAGACAACCCAGCGAGCACAATTCATGCCTTCACCCTGCCAGTCACCGATTCATTTTTCTCTTTTCTTCTGTTTTTTTTGGCTGAGCCCACAGCCAGGAGGATGCTGTACCATGGAGGATGCTGTACCATGGAGGATGCTGTACCATGGAGGATGCTGTACCGTGGAGGATGCTGTACTGAGGAGGATGCTGTGCTGAGGAAGATGCTGTACTGTGGAGGATGCTGTACCGTGGAGGATGCTGTACCATGGAGGATGCTGTACCGTGGAGGATGCTGTACTGAGGAGGATGCTGTGCTGAGGAAGATGCTGTACCATGGAGGATGCTGTGCTGAGGAGGATGCTGTGCTGAGGAAGATGCTGTACTGTGGAGGATGCTGTACCGTGGAGGATGCTGTACCATGGAGGATGCTGTACCGTGGAGGATGCTGTACTGAGGAGGATGCTGTGCTGAGGAAGATGCTGTACTGTGGAGGATGCTGTACCGTGGAGGATGCTGTACCATGGAGGAAGCTATGCTGAGGAGGATGCTGTACCACAGAGGAGGATGCTGTAGTGAGGAGGATGCTGTACCATGGAGGATACTATGCTGAGGAGGATGCTGTACCACAGAGGAGGATGCTGTAGTGAGGAGGATGCTGTACCATGGAGGATACTATGCTGAGGAGGATGCTGTACCACAGAGGATGCTGTGCCACGGAGGAGGATGCTGTGGTGAGGAGGAGCCCAGCCCCGTGGCCACCCCAGCCCTCGCCGCTTGTGGCACGCTGCAATTTTAATTATTTCTCTCTTCCCATGCTCCACCGTTAAAGCGATTATGACAACCCCCAAAAAAGGAGGCGCATTTTTGAAAGCACAGGCGATGCTGGGGTGAATGTATCGAGGCCCTGGCTGTCAGCACTGGCCGAGCGGGCAGAGGTGGCACCCAGACAAAGGCTCTTGGGCCGGGGGTGACCCCACACAACCCCCGGTGCGGTGGCACCCACGGCACCGCCAGCACGCACAGCCTCGCGGTGCGGCACCAGCATCCCTCGGCTGCCTTCTCTGCCACCCACAGGCAGCGTATTTGCTGTTCCCGGGGATGTTTTTAGGCTTGTTTTTGCTGCTCGTGAGTCACGCAGGCAGCGCTCCCGGCTGCTTTTTCCCTCCCGCTTCTTCACCAAGGGACATCTGAGGGGGATCGCTTCAAATGCAAGAGCACCGCTGCCTTCACCAGAGTGCACCCATCCCAGGACCCTCACGGTCCCCAGCATCCCCAGGCAATGCTAAGGGAGCAAGGGTACGGTGTGGGAGGGCCCTGTTGGAAGCAGCACCTTCGTTAGCACGACGGCAGCACCGCAGCCAGGGTCCCCTCACTGGCACTCATCCCCTTGCTGCAAGCGGGACCACCACGACCCCATCATCATCACTACCAGAGAGAGATGAAGGAGCAGAGCATCCCTCCCTCCATCCTTCCCAACTGTCCACCGCCGGCTCCCACG